AATTAAAAATTGCACAGGCTTAGATACTCTCCATCTGCAGGACGTGGTGTTATAACCTGTTTTGTTCACGTCATTGTGGTTTGGAAGTTGGAAAGCCTGGTCTCAACACGACCCACACCCTTCACCGGGCCTGAGGTTGACAAGTAATCTAAGCATCAGTTTCCCAACTTGTCAATAACTTGAGAATAACGGTCCCTGGTTGGAGGGCTGCTGAGCCCACAAAAGCACAAAATTCCTTTGAAGCATTGGCTCTTTTCCCAATGCTTCCTGCATCCCTTCTCTGTCTAAGTGAATCCTGAGGTTATGAGTTCTGGGAGAGTAACTGATTTCAAACCACTGTCGAAAGGATGCTGAGTGTGACATCCAGTAAAGGAGGAGGAAGCCCAGAGCATTTCCAATGAGCAGCCTTGGTATTCAGACCCATCATCTCTTTCTCCTAATCACGAAGAAAGGCAAAATTACTATGATGGATGTGCAGGTGCAGAAATAGAAACACAGGCATACTAAAAGTCTGCCAATGGATGGCGTCTAGATTTCCGCATTGCATTTTGGTGAAGCGTTTGCAAAAGCTTCTGCACGACAGCACTGCACCTGCACCTGCAACCAGGTTTCCCTCAGCATCTTCCCCTTGGGAGGGTCATGCCCAAACCCATCCGAGGCCAGAGATTAAGCCAAGCTCTCTTCTTGGTGCTGGTGCCCCGACCTTTTCCTCTACTCCGTTGGTTTAATTTCTCTTGTACCTTTCTACTCCATTTCTCGTTATTGGCCAAGTCTAACCCTGGGCATTGAGCATGCTCTGCCTAATCTATTTTTGCCCACCCCCTGCATGCAAGGCCTTCCTGACTTCACACCTCAGTCTTGGCGAACACTACACCTGCTTTTTATTCTTCCTCCCCTGACACACAGCCCAGCGTAAAAGAAAAGGAACTTGGCATATTGCTTAAACGTCCCTAAGAACACCACCTCTCCCAGATAAAAGACATGAGTCCTATACCTAAGAAAGCCACGGCCCAAAGCTGGCAATCCCCAGTTGCCACCAAGATGTATTTTATCCACAGCACTTCTTGAAACATTCCTCTTCCAATTCTGAAAGGAACAGGCCCTCTCAGGTCATAGAAAAGATTACCTATGCTGTCAAAAACCTTGTGATCCAGCGATTGCATTCCCAGGTATAAACCCAAGGGAAATGAAAACGTATGTCAATGCAAAAACTTGTCCGCACATGTTCATAGCAGCACTATGCTTAATAGTCAAAAGGTGGAAACAGCCCAAGTGTCCATGCATAGACGAATGGATAAACAGAAGGTAATCTTCCCCTGTAATGGAATAGTATTTGGCCATAAAAAGAAATGAAGTTCTGATACATGCTACAGCATGGATGAAACCTTGAAAACCTTATGCTCAACGAAAGAAGCCAGACACAAAACACCCCATATTATGGAAGTCTATTCATACGAAAGTCCAGAATAGGAAAATCTATAGAGACAGAAAGTAGATTACCGGTTACCTAGGTCTCGGAGGATTAGGAGATTACAGCTAAAGGGTATAGGGTTTCTTTTCGAGGCAATGAAAATGTTCTAGAGTTGACTGTGGTGATGATTGCACATATCTGTGAATATACTAAAAACCATTAGATTGCACACTTCAAATAGGTGAACTGTATGGTATGCAAATTTTATCTAGATAAAGCTGTTTTTCAAGAAAGCTTTAAAAAAGCTAAAACTATAAATAAACAAAAGCATGAGATGGGCTTCTAGCATAGGGCATAAATGTGCCTTTCTTGACGTTTCCAATATGACTGCTTCCCCCCATTCACCCACTCCTTCACAGACTCATTCTGCGATTAATTTCTATTTTAATTTGATTGATAGTTACTGAGCACTCCTTGGTGAGAAGGGGAGACTGCATAATTGTTCCCAATTCTCGACTCTCTTCTTTTTATAGAATCACACGTCTATACCTTTTGCCACAGGACTTTGCACGATCTCCCATGAAAGGAGGCAGAGCAGATATTTCTGCCCCACTATACTGGGTTTGAACACGTTACTGCCTATGGCCGAAAAATTTGAACAGACTACACCATGTGGGTTATAAATGTGGCTGCTTGCTTTGGCTTGTCCTCTTTGCTCCCATTATCTGTCAAAGAGGAGCGTGCACTCAGTGTCTGCTGCCCCTCACCCTGGGTCCCAGCATGAAGACACATGAATCCAATCAGAAACTTGGAGTCCAGCCCAGCCGGGAAGTGAGCCCAGCTAAGAATAGACTTTATGATTTTCAGATATTTTGTATATTGTTTTTATTTCTCTCTTAGAGTAATTATTCACAACCAGCTTCATTTTGCCCCCAGGGACACTTGGCAATGTCTGGGGACATTTTGGTTGTCACACCTTGAGGAAGCAGCTCCTGGCATCTAGTGAGGGGAGACCATGGATACTGGTCAACACCCTACAGTGCACAGGACAGGCCCCTCACAGAGAGTCCTCCAGTCCCAAATGTCCGTAGCACCAAGGTTAGAAGACGGAGATTTCACATGCAGTAAAATCCCTGTAATTCATGGGAAAATGAGCAGTCTGCGATTTCTTTGTGCTCACTTCTCTTGGCTACATGCTATATTTAAGACCATCTTGTCCAGAGATAAAAAGTTAGTGTAATTTTCTCTATCACTCGCCAGAAAACAAAGACAACATTTGAACCACGAAATGACTTTTGAACAGAGCATACAAAAATGCTTAAGATTTTAATTCTTAAGCAGGTACAATTTAGATGTGTTTTTGCTTGATTTGTTTGAAAAAACTTGTTCCATGCAAATTTCACAAATATATTTTAGAAATGCATGTGAGTTTGCAAATATGGTTTTATAATATGGACAAGTGTGTCCACAGTAAATCTTGAGAGCGTATTTCTCTATGAAAAAATAAATGATCATATCCCTTAGTAGAATCACAGAATATTTAAGAAAAGATTGAATGAAGCCTGCAGTTCCAGCAATCTCAAGAACATTGAGAGGATGATGACTAAACTCTGTGTTAAAATAACAGTACATTTTATCCCTTCTTCTTAAATCAAGGAAGTAGTATTAATTTTAGCTGTTAATTCTATACTTATGATACTGCTCACCTGACTTACTCTTGTCCTAATAAAAGTCAACTTAAATGGTGCAGACTTTAATTACACATTGTTTTACAATTTAAAAGTATTCTGTAACAATTATCAACATCATAACCATCATTCATCGCTGAATTCATAAGCCTTGTTCTTCTTCCTTTTAAACACTATGTTTCAACAAAATATTAAATGGACTTATTATAGGCAGCAATGTTGCTACGTGTGTAGAACTGGGGGATGGTTGTCCAACTTGTTTTAAGGCTGTGTGTTGCAAGGACCTCCAAGTCAATAGAAGAAAGATGAATGACATACATGACCCTGAATTTCCCCATCTGAATCACCCTGAGATAAGCAATAGCATTAGTAATAGTAAACACTGCTGACATAAACCTTCTCAATGCCCAGGAACAGGACAGACTCTCCCAGTGAAGTCTCATACAGACAAGATCAGAACTCCATGGGATGAACGATTTTTTTTCCTCCTCTCACTGAAGTCTTGATTGCTCAATTTAAAAAACACACACACATGAGCAAAAGAAGACTGATGTGTCTATGGACGCAATAGGAGTAATCAGCTCAAAAGATTTTCAGTGTTAACCATAAAATTTCAGCATCATGGTCTCAATATTTTAAAGAGCAATCCTCATCTCACTTCAACCTAATTTTAAGCTGCTCATTTATACGCAGTTATTTCACCACTGAGGCAGATTTATTTGGAGGGAATTGTTACATTGGAAAGAGGACTTTTGAGGTTTTGAAGCTGCAGGAGCGCTGCCATGGGCAATGCTTTCTCAAAGACGTGATCTTAGCTTCTGCATTAGTCCGAAGACATTTTAAGGAATTATTAAAACAAGGTTGAGATGGCTTCAGAGGTAAAGTTCTTCTCTAAGAACGCCTTGCAAATGCAAGTAATTCCCATATATATAATGCCGTTATCATGCTACCAAAATAGGTGCAAATAAAAATAGATTTAAAAAAAAAACGCCTTATGCTTATAAAGCTTTTACAATTTTTTTAAAAAAACGACACTTTTTTTCTGACGATGATCTCTCTATTGTATTTCTTGCTCTATTATTTTCTATATAAATATAAGCTCAGCATCCCTGAGTGGAGTTTCTTTCATGGGGTAACAAGACAGACTTGAGAATTCACAAAGCATGTGGGTTTGAGATCTCTACTACACGCTTTAATTATAAATTGCTTCATTGGGTATCATTGTCATAACACCCATAATAATAACCCATAATAATCTGTTCTTGACAGATTCCTGAACACTTGCTAACTTCGTAAGATTATTATTTCTTTTAAGATTAAATGGGGAAAAATCAATATTAGGGGTGTTTTCTTTAAATGGAGATTTTAGCCAAATTCAAAAAGACAAATTTGGGCCTCTCTGTCTATGAATGTATGTCTAATATATGATTTCTTTCTTTCTATGTATCTACATATCCATCTTTCTATGATCTATCTATTATCCATCTATCATCTATCACCTATTTAGCATCTATTTATCTATCCAAACACATATGTAGAGACCCACATCTAAAAATTATGTCTACGATTAATGTTGAGTATAAATTATATATTGTGCGGGAGACAATGATTCTCAAACAGAGAAAATGCCCACCCTCGGGTGACATTGGACAATGTTGGGAGACTCTTTTGGTTGTCACAACTAGGAGTGGAGGATGCTACTGGCATCTAATAGGTAGAGACCAGGGATGCTGCTCAACAGCCTACAGTACACAGGTCAGCCCCCTATAGGAAAAAATTATCTGGCCCAATATGTCAATATATCAATAAGATGCATTAAATGCCCACACCAAAGAAGGATATCCACAGAAGGATGGACAGAACACAAGTGCTGTAGAACGACCTGATGAGTGTCCATCTTACCTGGGGCTGCTGTGGTCAGCTGCCTTCCAGTGCCTTGTAAGAACATCTCTCAAAGGTATTCTTCTCTATCCAGTGAATGCCATATTCATGGAGTTGGACATATTCTACATGAGAAATAGAACAGAAAGTCCCTAAACAATTTTTCATGAATTTCCAATAAAGTATGCGTTTTCTTTTAGAATGTATTTTAAAGCATAAATACAAAAAAACCTCTCCTGAAGCCCTAAAGTCAAGGCCTGCATTGTTTGTACATCAAGATTTAGTAAAACCTTCAGATGGCATTTGACTGTACTCTGAAGCAGGAAGCGTTAGGGGCTGGGTTGGGTGTTGGTGGCAAAATAGCTTTGAGAAGTCAGAAAAGTGATATTAAGACAAGGGAATCAGATGCAGATTCTTCTTGCTTCACTTGTATGTGACAACTGATCGAATGCATTTCAGAGGAGACTCAGAGTACTTCAAATAAATGATGTCTGGTCTTTCAACTAGCCCTGAGAAACAGGCATCTCAAAGTCAGTGCAGCTGATTCTGTTTTCCAGCGATGACGTCTGTCATACCCCAGGTGCTTGTCTTGCCACTCCTCCATTAAGAAGCAGAGTCTAAACACCTCCCCTTTCAATGTGAGATGGACTTATCACATCCCACGTGTCTTAGTTTGCTCAAGGCTGCTAATTACAAATACCATAGACTGGGGGGCTTAGACAACAGACGTTTATTTCTCACAGTCCTGGAGGATGGAAATCCAAGATCAAGGTGTGGGTAGGGTTGGTTTCTCCTGAGGCCTCTGTCCTTGGCGTGTAGATGGCCATCTTCCCCGTGTCCTCACATGGTCGTCCCTCTGTGCTTGTCTGCGTCCTCATCTCCTCTTTTTGTAAGGACACCAGTCCTATTGGATCAGGACCCACGGTAGTGACCTCATTTTACCTTCATCACCTCTTTAAAGACCCTGTCTCCAAATACAGTCATATTCTGAGGTCCTGGGAGTCAGGACATCAACATACGAATTTTGAAGGAACACAATTTGGTCCATAACACCACAGAACGTGATGGAAGTGACACTTCCAAGACTGGGTTAGAAAAGACCATGCAACTTCCTCCTGTTTCTCTCAGAATGCTCCCCTATGGAAACCAGCTGCATAGTGGGAGGAAGCCCAAGCCACAGGGAGGTGGTCCAGTTGACAGTCCCAGCTGAGCCCAGTTGTCAAGTCATCCCATTCCAGCTCTTGATTTGGTGACTTCTGCATTTTCATTCCCAAATAGGACCCAATCCATCTAAACATGAGACCCACCTCATCACAGTTAATGAAAAACATTAAGTAAACCTGAGACTCGGTGAGAAGAGAGAGAGGGCAGAATTTGTACTATTTCATTCCTATTTCTTATGGGGGGAAGGAATCCAGTTTATTTCTGAAATAACTGCATCCAGCTCTTTCCTAGATTTGATTTTTTGGCAGACTTTATTTTGATTTTCATCAGCTGGTGTTGCACCCGGAGGTATCCAGCAGTGAAAGGGCAAGAGCAAGCATGCGTTGGGAGGAACTGTTCCCCGTGGCCCCCCAAAGCTATGCCGTGCAGGCTCTGCCCACAACATCCCAGCTTACACCACAGGAACTCAGAAGAAGAAACACCCCACCACGTAACCACAAAATTCTGCAGCCACCTAACAACCTCAACTCAGAAAATAATAACATGCCCCTCTTAATGAAAACATTGGTAACTAGTAGGAGGATGTACCTTGTGCAGCTGTGTGAATGCTACTGTTCCTCATAGACACAATTCTAGAAACAACTTTGAGAGCAAGAAAATTGGTAGCAATCGCTCCAAGGGGAAGTCAGAGTTTTGAAGCCAACATCCTGTGACAAATGCATGGATTTTCTTGAGTGGGCTGGATTCCGGAACATTCCTTCAGCAGCAACCTGGGATGTGACATCTGACATCTTGGCAGGTCCCCAGCCCAACCTCCTCATTTTGCAAAAAAGAAAGCATGCCACTAAGTTGCTAAAGGTACAACCTATATTTTTAGAGTGTTGACTACGTGCCAAAGATTTATCCCGTGCCCATGGAACGACAAATGGAACTGTCTACAGAAACAATATCAGGGTTATAATCCTCCAGCAATATCAGGGTTATAATCCTGAAGAATGCATGAGTGTTCAAGCTGGTTGATAGGGTCCTCATAAGAAAAGGCAGCAGAAGCAGAATTTACTAACTCTTGCTGTCCCAATAATGTAATCAACACCCATCTTGCTCTCTAGCTCATGTTATGGAGAGAAATTATATTCACAGTAGTGATGATGGTCTCACCAGATGGGGAATTTTGGTTCCTTCAAGAGGCACTAAAATCTGAAGTTCCCATCATGAGTATGTATATATATATAGATATATATCTATATCAAGACCCTGGAGGCTGTCATGCAAATATTGCCCATCATATGAGTCTCAGAGACAAGGCAGACCTAGAGGGAGAAAACCAACTTGAGCTCAGCAAGGATTTGAGAAAAGACATCTATCTCTGAGCAAGGACTCAGAGTGTTGGGGAAAGGTGGGTTTTCAATTCATCTCCAAAGTTCCACACATATATTGACTTTGTGGAGCAAAGATGGTGGTGGAGATGCCACATTATAGTCTGAGTTTGGCCCCCACAGGTCAAGCGATGCTTAATTTTCCTTACTGAGGGAAAGAGGAAAGGAGATTGGACACAGCAGTCTCAAGCCATGAAAGGATGGAATTCAAATAAGTAAATTTTAGTAGGAGAAATAGAGTGAGCGAGGCAGCAAAGTCAAAATTGTGTTCAAGAGCTGGGGGCTGGAAGGAGACAGCCAGGTTCGACCTGCAAATCCATCCATAATTTTCTAGCTCTGTAACCTTGGGAAACTTACTTGTCTCTGTTAAAAATAAAATACACAATGAGCATAAGGGTAGATGCTATCAACATACCTGTGATGATGGAGGTTGTAGTGGGTTGAATTGTTCCCCCCAAGAAGACACGTCCAAGACTTGATCCCTGGAACCTGGGAACGGGACCTTCTTTGGAAATAGGGTCTTTGCAGATGCGATTAAGTGAAAGATGGAGATGAGGTCATCCCAGATGAAGGTGGCCCTAAATCCAATGGCAGTGTCCTTATAACAAACAGAAGGAGAGAAAAACAGACATAGAGGAGAAGCCACGTGAGGACGGAGGCAGAGATGGGAGAGATGCAGCCACCACCCCAGGGATGCCTGGAGCCCCCGAAGCTGGAAGAGGCAGGAAGGACCCTCTCCTGGAGCCTCCGGAGGGAGGGCGGCCCTGCGACCCTGCATCCCAGACATCTGGTCCCCAGGACTGGAAAAGCACAAATTTCTCTTGTCTTTAGCCACGCATTCTCTAATACTTTGTTATAGCAGCCTTAAGAAACTAATATGCCAGGGAACATGAATTAGCATTTACTGATAGTTGAACAATTTCCTGTGCTTTTATTTATTGAAACTGTATATCTGCCATGGGATTCATTCTTCTTTTCTTTTCTGACATAGAATATAGCCATGACTGGGGTTATAGCAAAATAATTTTACCCTCAGCTTTCTCCATGTGATTTTTAATGTCCTAATATGTTTTCATTTCTCACTTTTCTTTAAAACGTTAAGGGATAGATATATTTCAAACCATAATAATCACTGATATGAGGCTTATTTTCTTTTAATGTGTTAACTGATTCTTTCTACAGAGTGATTTCATATAATTAAAGTATATACGCAAGTCAAGACGTCTCTTATTTCTTGCTATCTTCACCTCGTCCCAGAAGAGGACACATTACTAAGTTCCAGGTTGCGAGGCTGGTGGGTGGGAATGGTTAAGAGCCTAGATTCACGGACCTCAATCATCACTCGAGAGGCCTTCACACTCCCGAGCGTTGCTGACTAATCTGTGTACCTGTGAGTTTGTGTCTGATTTTAACAGGAAGAGTGTCCATATATTTCATCGAATTCTTAAGAGGCATCTAAAGCAAGACAAGCTGATTTACTGGTTTCCTGGGGCTCCTGTAACAAATATTGCTTAAAACAATAGGAATTTATACTCTCCCAGTTCTGGAGGCCACACGTCTGAGATCAAGGTGTGGGCAGCAGTGGTTCCTTCTGGAGTCTCTGAGTGAGAATTTGTTCCCAGTTTCTGGTGGTTACCAGCAATTCTGGGCATTCCTGGACTTGTAGATGCCTCACTTCAATCTCTATCTCTTTCTTCACTATGCTCTCTCTTCTGTATGCATTTCCATTTCTGTTTCATATAAAGATACTCATCCCTGGATTTGGGGCCCACTTGGTTAATCCAGGATGCTCTCATTTGGAGATCCTTAATTACATCTGCAAAGACCCTTTCTCCACATAAGGCCCCATTCACAGGTTCCACGTTGGCATATCTTTCTTTTTATGCAGGGGTGTCACCATTCAACCCAGTACGTGTTCTATTAAAGATAAGATCAAACCTCATGTCCATCAACTTTGTAGCAACTGGATGGAATCTCTACATTTTGTCTAAGGATTGTTGAATCTCCTGCGAGGAATTCACGTTTATCCAGACACCTTCAGATTCCTTAGTGATAACTCATTAGGAATTTTAGATCCCTGATAAGCATTGTCAAATCCCACAATTTAGACCCACACTCCCCAGTCAAAATGGCTTCCTGGTCTGCATTAAAATGCCCCTCTTCCCCCAGGGAAGGCTGGGTCGGTTGACAGATCAATCTTCTCCCAAACCCTGCAGCTCATTTGCACAAACACTCCTTTGTAAATCTTTCGGAAATCTTAAACTTTTCTCCCTTTCTCTAGACAGCCCACAAATACCCCTCACTTTTAATAGTGAAAACTCTTCTATGCAATGTTTAGTAACTTTAATTCTATGTATCTCTGTACAGCAGATAAAATTCATTTCTAAACTTGTTTTTAGTTCTGTACTCCTCAGGGATTTCACACCACAGAACATTCCTATCCCACGAAGGTCTTTTTCTCTGTGTAATGACCCAAGCTTATCTGTAAAACTTGCACCATCTCTCTTCTCGCCTGAGATGACAGCAACTAATTCAGCAAGATCCACAACAAAAGATAAGAGACTCTCATTTCATACAAAGTGTCACTGTTTATTATGTAAACACATCGTTTTGTAGGTGCCAGTGGTGGCCCCAGATGAAACTGATATATGCATGATGAATATTTCCTGTTATGTGTGTTATCATGTGACATGTCATGTTTACAAATCTATGAGTTACTGATGGCATTCTGGCTTTTTCCAGAGATGTGAAATTTCTCAGTCCTTTAAAGGTCTTGGATGGAGTGTTTTAGGGTACATTCTGGATCCTTCCAGTGTTGTCTGCCTTTCCTCAGGACCATATCCATATTGTCTAAGACTGTTCTCGATTGCACCTCTCGTGCAACGTGGACAAGCTGCTCACAGACACCGACTGCTGAAATATTGGAAGGCTCTATCTTGTGCAACCTTCCCACACAATGAAACAAAACAAAGACTCTGTAGCCTCTCCCACTTTTGCGTCTTTTTCTCAAGGATGTTCTCCACCCTTCTGAGTAGAACAATATTTTAGACACAGGGACATCTTCCAACATGCAATTGGGTCTCAGTACCCCACAGGGTCTTAGTCTGGAGAACTGAAGCAACAAGGACCCCCATGAATGCTTCCCAGGATGTTCAGTTTCCTCATCCAATGGAATCCACGCAGCTGGAAGTCTAACCACGCTGGGAATTTAGTTTTTCATGCTCCTCCGGGTTGTTGGTCTATTGAATCCAGCTCCTTCGTCTTTGATAGCAGAGCTGCTCAAAAGCAGCTGCTGTTTAGAAATATGTTCAAAGTGGTTTCTCACTTGGCCATCTTTGGGGAGCCGCTTCATCCTCTTGCCACGCTGTTGGGACACACTCTCAAAACAAAAGACTTCACTCTTACGTTTTATGCTCTTCTCCCAGACCAGTTCCCTTGGTAACTTCATCATACACCCAATGGAGGGCCCCAGAATTACGTGACTACAGTTCTGAAGAAGCCTCTTATCTGAGAGCTTCCATTGAACCCATGTGGCCCCATTGTAAACCAGCAAAATCCAGTGCCTCCAAAGCTCCCAGGTGAGCTTTATCTCCGAGGCCCCAGATCCAAATCTGGGTGAAATTCAGACTTAGATACTTTGTACTCTTTCCCAAGAGCAGGGTTGGGCATTATCTTTAAAACCAGCCAAGCACGTTCCTCAGAAAGACATGAACTGCACAACTGACGTTTCTCTGGGTTGGTGTGTTCCTTCCCTTACATACCTCAAGGCGTCTTTCGATGAGAACTGTTCTTATAAATTCAAAAATAAATAAACAGTAATTAGTGGCATGAGTTAATTCATAGCCCATAATTTTTGGTCCCACGCGGGTTGGTCTAATTATACCCAAGAAGCCATAAAAAATTAGACAGGGGAGATCTCTAACTCCATCAAACATGGAATATGTAGTTTTCCATGGTGTCTTCATTTTAAGTTTTTCTTTTTCCCTCCGTCAGCTGCATAAATACAGACTGACCTGTAGGAACAACACAAACAAGTCCTAATAGTGTGAGTCTAGATGTATTTTGCACACTGCATTTTTTTACTGGGATGTTCTGTCGGCTCTGTTGGGCATGGATAACACTGATAGGATCTCTACTTGTCCAAAAGATGATTGCCCAGTTGTCAGGAGGAGATACCCTTTGGGTTGTTTTTCCATTGATGGTGGCATTTCTCCTGGTTGGTCACCTCGCTGGCCCTCATTTACAGCCCTCAGCATATCTTGGAGATGACCAAGAATGGGTTGCCTGTGGCCAACACATGACCTTCACTATCCCAGCAGCTGTCACAATTAATTTGTTTCAAAAAGTATTGTAAAATAACATCTCTTGGTAGGAAACTCGATCTGAATAGAAGACAAAGAGATAAAAAGTGAAATTTCCATCTGCCCTGTTAAACCCCCCTACCACCACCCTGAATTGACTTCTCCTCCTCATAGCAAAACCCTGTTTCTCAGGATCCATGCAGGATTTTCTGTGAACATCACATACAAATCACAGAATCATAGATGCTCATACATTACACAAATAGATCCTATAAATTGTTCCTTATCAATACGATTTTAAGATTTTTTTCTACAGATATACATGTAGATAGAAATCATCTGCCTTTCTTTTTCTTTTTTTTTTTTTTCCTGAGGATGATTGGCCCTGAGCTAACATCTGTTGCCAATCTTCCTCTTTTTTACGTGAGCTGCCACCATAGCATGGCCACTGACAGATGAGTGATGTAGGTCCATGCCTGGGAACCAAACCCAGGCTGCCAAAGCAGAGCACGCTGAACTTAACCACTAGGCCACTGGGGCTGGCCCTTCATTTATTTTTTAAATGGCTACCTAATAGTCTGTTGTAAAGGCATGCATCGATTTATTTTTTAAACTAAGTAGACTTCATTTCTTAGAGCAGCTTTATGTTTAAAGGAAAATTAAACAGAAAGTACACATGGTTCCCACATTCCCCTTCTCCTGTTACACCGTGTCCCTGTTACGAACATCTTGCATTGATGTGGTACATCTGTTAAGACTGGTGAACCAGTATCGACACAGCATTTCTCCCAGAGTCCACAGTTTGCATTAGGGCTCCCCTTGGGGTTGGACGTTCTATGGGTTTGCACTGAGGCACCATGTCATATATCTACCATTACAGGATCACACAGAATATTTTCGCCGCCCTGGCATTCGCTAATTTATTTTACCACCATTATTTCTCTCCCCATAACTCTAAGAGCCTCCCACCAGGGATCTCAACCCTCACAGTGCGTCAGAATCACCTGAGGAAAAGACAAAAATATCTACGCCTGGATTCCCGCCCCCTGAGACTTGGTTCAGCTGGTCTCCAGTGGGGCCCAGGCAAGCACAGGGTTTCTAAAGTTCCAGCTGGTTCTGATGGCTGTTGTAGGTCCTTGAAGCTTATTCTCAATTCAGCTGGCAGGCAAAGAGAGCCTTTTAAAACTGAGCAGAGCAGATCACGTTTCAGCTCAGAATCTGACAACAGCTCTGCATCTTGCTGAGTTAGAGTTGCCGAGTGAAATACAGGATGCAAGTTGAATCTGGATTTCAGATA